CAGGGCGGCTGGGAGCCAGGACTCCTGGGTTCTCACCCCGGCTGTGGGAGGGGAGTGGGGGCTGGTGGTTAGAGCGGGGGAGAGGGGTGGGGTGGGTTGCCTCTGCCGGGGGGTCCCCATGGGGCAGGGGGCCCGTGCGGCTGTGGGTGGGTTCTGCTCTGGCTCTGTCCTGCCAGCCTGTCTGCGCTGCCGTGTCCTGCGAGCATCTCTTCTCTTCCTTCTCTGTCTCCGCCAGGACGGCCTGGCCCCTAAACCTCGGCGCCGTAAGAGATTAACCCCGGCCGCAGCAGCCACAGTGAGTGCGGTGCCAGCCCCCCCGGCGTCCTTGTTCCCAGCCCCTTCCCCCAGAGCTGGGGAGAGAACCCAGGAGTCCTGGCTTCCAGCCCCCCAACATCCCCCACTCCTAGAGTCCCCACGCAGTGTTAACCCTAGAGATGGAGGAAGCAAGCTCTCGTGGAGCCAGGACTCCTGGGTTCTCTCCCCGGCTCTGGGAGGGGAGTGGGGTCTAGTGGTTGGGGGGGCAGGGAGCCAGGACTCCTGGGTTCTCTCCTCGCTGTGAGGTCTCTGGCTGGTCCCTTTCCCTTGGCAGTAGGGGTGACCCAGGCTGTGTCTGGCACGCTGGGGGCACTCTGTATTGCGTCGGGGGAGGGAAAGGGGGGGGACGGGAACCCCGACACTCAGTGTCCAGCCTTGTCCCCCTTCCTGGCATTATGGGGCTGGGCAGGGCCAGGGGCTGGGCGAGCTCTGTGGCTCCGGGAGCTGCCGGTTGGCCCCTCTGCCGTGGGGCAGGTGTGCGTGCCCTCTCATCCAGCCAAGGGGGCCTGAGCCGGGCCATGGTGGTGACACGGGGGACACCTGGCAGCCAGTGGGGCCAGATGGGCAACAAGCTGGGGGGGCGGCGATCCAGCCCCGCCCTCTGGTACCCACCCAGCTCAGGTGGGGTCATGGACCCAGGTGTCCGGGTCACCCTCCCCGCCCTGAATTCTGGGGGAAGAGGAGGGACCCAGACGTCCGGGTGGTCCCCCCAGCCTGGACTCTGGAGGAGGAGGGACCCAGACATCGGGGCCACTGTTCCCCTCCTCTCCCGCCAGGCCCTGCATGTGTTCTGCAGAAGGGACCCCGGCATCCGGGTGACCCTCCCCCCTCACCTTGTCTTCCCTTCGCTCCCCCCAGAAATGGAAGCCGTCGCTGGAGCGAGACCCCGGCGGCCTCTCAGGCTCCCGGCGCAGGGTGAGTGAGAGACCTGCCCGGTGCAGGGGGAGCCCCATAGGCTGGGGTGGTGCAAAGGCCGGGAGCTGAGACCGCGAGTGGAGTGCGGTTGAGGGGTTAGAGCAGAGGGGCTGGTAGCCAGGACTCCTGGGTTCTCTCCCCGGCTCTGGGAGGGCAGTGGGGTCTAGTGGTTAGAGCCGAGGGGCTGGGAGCCAGGACTCCTGGGTTCTCTCCATGTCTCCGGGAGGGCAGTGGGGTCTAGTGGTTAGAGCTGGGAGCCAGGACTCCTGGGTTCTCTCCCCAGCTCTGGGAGGGCAGTGGGGTCTAGTGGTTGGGAGCCAGGACTCCTGGGTTCCATCCCTGGCTAGGAAAAGCCTGTCTGGTGGTTCTGTGGCTGACAGTCTACCCCGGTGATCTCCCCCCCAGCGCCCTGCTCTGTTCCATGGACTAACTCGCCTATGTGTCGCCCACCCGCTGTGCCCCTCCCTCGCCATGGGGCTTGGCCGTGGGCTGCAGAGCGCCGCCCTGTTGTCTCGCCGGCCCTGGTGCCCTGGTGCCCGGGGACACAGGCCTGCTGGGCTGGCTCTTCTTGCGTTTCCCTGACGCCGGGCGCGCGCCCCCGCTGCCACGGCGCCGACTCCGGTTCCCTTGGGCCTCCGGGGCCTGCTGGGAGAACTGGGCGAATCTGTCCCCACGTCCCAGGCTGCCTCGAGCACTAGGGCTGGAAGGGATGTCGGCAGGTCCAGCCCCGCCGCTCTCCGTGTCAGGGGCTCGTCCGAGCGCTTCTTGAAACCCTCGGCGCGGACCCTAGGTCTGGGCGGGACTCTGTAAGGGGGACAGTCAGGTGACCGGGAGCTCCCGCCGGGCCCCGGGAGCCAATCTCGGGTAGGAGCGGAGAGGGGACTGTCCCTCGATCCGGCCATGGTCCGGTGCCTGCAGTTCAAGGAGGAAGTGGGTCGATCGGGGAGGGGCCAGAGGGGGAGAGGCTGAACAAAAGGGAAGTGAGGGGCTGGCTCGCTGAGTCAGCACGTACCCGCAGCGTGCCGGGGGCCCCCCAGCCCGTGGCCACGGGTCGGGCCTGGATTTGGGGAGCGGAGTTGAAGCGAGAGATGATTCATCTCCAACCTGTGTCTTGGGTGGGCGGGAGGCGCTAGATACCCGAAGGCAGAAGTTAAACCCATGAGGTCACGCTGAGTCTGGGGGGCCGGGCCCCCCGGCTGGGGTCGCTTGGCCCTCGCTTTGAGTCCAGGGGGCTGGGGCCCCCTGACTGGGGCCGATCGGCTCTCGCTCTGCGTCCCCAGGGCTCCCTCAGTGCTCCCCAACCCACGCCGTATGCCCCCTTTGGCAGGCCGGTGATTTCCCGGCGCCAAGGGCGGGGAGGGGGCCTGTGTGCGGCCGTCTCCCCCGCGCTCTGACCCGGCGCCTCTCTCCCCGCCCGGCAGCTCTGCTCCAAGAGCCGGCGGAACCGCAAGTGCGGGGAGTGTGAGGCCTGTCTGCTGAAAGCCGACTGCGGCCGCTGCGACTTCTGCCGGGACAAGCCCAAGTTCGGCGGCGAGAACCTCAAGCGCCAGAAGTGCCGCTGGAGACAGTGCCTGCGCTTCGCAATGGTTGGTGCCCTGCCCGCCCGGCTCGCGGGGTCCGGCTGCTCTGGGAGGGCAGGGGCACGGTGCCAAGCGCTGAGCTGGAAGGGACTTGAGGGCGCTCGCTCCGGCTGGCCTTGGGCGGGGCGGGCCCTTGCCCTGGCTGGCGTGACTCTGGCTTGGCTCAGGTGGGGCGGGGGCCGTAGCTCTGGTGGGCTCCCAAAATGCTCCACGGCTCTGGGGCTCCCGTCCGACCGTGGCCGTTGGAGCAGGCCCAATGCCCCGGGGAGGGGAGACGGAGCCCTTTGTGTGGGGCACACCCCTCCTACCGCCCGCTCGCCCAGGCTCTGTGCCCCACATCAGGGGAGCGTCTTCCCTCCCGGCCCGCGTCCAGCACTCTTGCCCTGCTCGTCCTGTGGCGTGGAGTTCCGCAGCTGTGCCGTCCGCGCGGAGCGGGATCTGGGCCCGGCAGAGCATGGTTTTGTCCCTGCCGGGTTTGTTCGCCTCCCGGGAGGGTGCTTGGGGCCCAGAGCTGCCGTGGGTTTAGGCGCCGAGCTCCTGGGGACGTCAATGGGATTTGGGCTCAGGTCTTAGCGGCCGGTGGGCCGCGCTCTTCACCTGCAGTTCTCGGGGCCGTTTGGGCCTGGCACAGAGTCAGAGGCACTGTTCAGAAGGGGCTTGTGAAACCGGACGCCTGGGTTCTCTGCTCGGGGAGGGGAGGAGAGTGGGGTCTAGTGGTTAGAGCGCGGGGGCGCTGGGAGCCAGGACTCCTGGGTTCTCTCCTCAGCTCTGGAAGGGGAATGGGGTCTGGTGGTTAGAGGCGGGGGGGGTGGGGGGTT